AGTTAGCCATTGAGAGAATCCCAGCTCCGGTATGCTTCTTAATAAAGTTCTCGTCTTTGAACTTAGCACCGTAGATCGATTCACCACCGGTTCCGTTCTTGGCGGTGAAATCACCTCCCTGACACATGAATCCGGGAATCACACGGTGGAAGATCGATCCCTTGTAGTGAAGTGGCTTACCCATATTTCCGATTCCTTTCTCTCCGGTACACAGAGCACGGAAATTCTCCGCCGTTTTTGGGGTCGTATCAGCGAATAGCTCCATCTCGATACGACCGATCGGAGTACCGCTCAGACTCATGTCGAAGAAAACTCTAGGGTTCGCCATTTTTTTGGGGAGATTTTGAAGAGAGAGCGAAGAATCGATGAAGAAGAAGATTGTGAAGTGATGAACTGATGATGATAAGTTAGGGTTTTTTTGGGAGAGTTCTTCTTATAGAGTGGATTTAATTTTTAAAGCGGTGAATCTGGAAAGGGAATGTTTGTTATTGACCGTTGATTTAGAACACGTGTAGGGCTGTGATGATTTGGGGACTAACCGTGGTTAAATCGGATCTGACTAGGGTTTAAGTCGCGTGGATCCGAGGCTCCTCCTATCCATAATAATTGATTCTTTTTAGATGGACCGACCGAATTACGGCGTTGAAGTAGTGGGCTGACAACAAAAGCATAAAGCCCAATATCTTATTTCATTGATTTTTTTTTTTTTTTTTAAACATTTTAGTAATATTTTGGACTTTTGGTGTATGAGCATTGTTTTTGCCAATACTCGTTCTCCGATTCTATATATTGAGTTATTGACCACTCGATTGTATTGGAGAGTGTACCATTTAAAATTATGTAGGTGGTGATTATCTTTCAGCACGTGAACACTTGTATTTGATGGGATATATACTGGATTCACGATCTTATTTTCATCGAACAATGATCTTTCTTATGACTTACATTAGTTACATTGATAGTCGATTTACTTGAAAAAGAAATGAAAAGTGGAAGAATGAGGGAGGTTTTGAGCTGAATATTCACTTCTTTCTTAGTACTCAGTACTCACTCATTTTTTTTTTTTGCTTATTTGACCTTGATCCACTTACTTTACATCGGTTGGTAGACTATGACCACTCATATTCTTCAGAATAAGAATGTTGGATATAAGTAATGATTAAGACCTTTAATCAAAAAAAAAAAAAAGATAAGTAATAATTATGCCTTGGTGGGATTAGTAGATTTCACTTTTTACTAGACTAGGCCACTTTGTTTTGTTTGGCAAAGTGATTTGATTATTTTCTAGTATGTAAATACATACGAACATCATCAATTCTTGAACATTTGGTTTTTTTATTCAGCGACTCCTAACAATTGTCTATGGCCGGAATGTATCTTTCTTTCATCATATTTTATACATATTAGTATCACAGTAGTACTGTCTAGATTAGAATATTTAACATATATTGTATGTCCCTAAAAACCCAAAAGTTAAATAAAATCAAAGCATCACAAAAGAAACTTTTGGAGTTGTCCAACAGACAATATCATATTGTTTTATATAATCATCTAGCTAGTATATTCGTTCTCCAACGTTAGCAAATTATACGACCTTTTCTTAGTGTCATTATCAACAACAATGACTAAAAATGTAGAGTAAAAAAAAAAAAAATCAGAAAGAAACAACCAATATGCAGCAGGCTGCGCAGGGCACGAGATCCACTGCCACCGTACACGTGGACAACCAAACATTTTACTCACTGCAGAGATACTCTCTCACGTCACTAAAATTATTTAACTTTTATAGTTTAGTAGGTAAATCAAAAACCATTAATTTATTTTAATAAAATGCATACAAAATGTTTAACTCAAAAAGCAAACAACCTCCGTGCAAATCATATCATATGCATGGCTTAAAGGGTTTAGCTTCACCTTCCCGATCGCTAGAGTTACTGTACTCGTCTCTATCTTCCCGTCACAGTCACATCTCGTCCGTACACGTGGACCCACATCCTCCTTAAGCTCACTAGCTGATTGATTCGTCTTACCTTTGGCCGTTTCGTCTCTCTCTCTCTCGTTTAATTACTTGTATCGTCGACTCTAGTGATACTCTCGCTTCTCTGTTACAAGATTGAGAGAGAAGATAGAGAGGCATAGCTCGTTTCGTATCGTCTTCTTCGTCTTCCTTCGACGCTGGATTCACAGGGTTCGTGATCTATCTACGTGTTGCTGTGGTTATGAACATTTACGGTTGATCAAGTTTTCCCCTGCTTTGTTTTTGCCGGATCTCTCTCCGAGAGTTTTGTTTCCGATCGTTTCTCTGCGTGATATCGTTAAAACCGAGTCGATATCTCTCCGGTTTGTTTTCTTGTTCTTTGAGATTACATGGAATCCGACGTTTCGATGTTTATATCGTTCGATTTCTCTTGTTCGTGAAGTTTCTCTGATGTTTGTGTGTTAGTCTGCGTTCTGATTTTATCCTGTTTGATTAATCTTGTATAGAACAGTCTCGCAGAAGGTTTGATAACTGAGGATGCCGAATTTAGTTTGTCTATAACCTGTTTACACGTTTGATCATGACATTGTTTGTGCTATTGCGAGCTAAGTGGATCTGATTGATTTGTGTGAATGCAGGGCATGATATTTTGGTTAAGATTTGAATCAATCTGGAGCAATGTCGAGTTTTAATCTGAGTGTAGATGTGAATCAGAATGGGAATGTCAAGAATGTTGATTCTTTATCTACATTGGACGATATTGATGACATTGATTTCGCCAAGTTACTAGAGAAGCCAAGGCCGTTGAATATTGATAGACTGAGATCACTTGACGAAAGGTCTCTTCATGAATTAACTGGTTCACCACAGCTTAGAAATGCGGATAATGCTTCTCGGGCCCCTGATCACGCTGATTATGTGATTTCACCAAGCGTGGGTAGGAGGTCTGGATTCAATACTCCTAGGTCACAGCCTGGATTTGAGTCTCATCCTATGGTTGGTGAGGCCTGGGATGCTTTGAGGCGCTCAATGGTTTACTTTCGTGGACAACCTGTTGGGACTATTGCTGCTGTGGATAATTCTGAAGAAAAACTCAACTATGATCAGGTAAAGAATCTTAATATCTTCTGAAAACTTCCGAATAACCACATTTTATTGTTACGTTTCATGTGTTGACTGTTCATTCATCTTGTATCTCTGCCTTGATTTTATCCTTTAGGTGTTCGTGAGAGATTTTGTACCAAGTGCTTTAGCATTCTTGATGAATGGAGAGCCAGATATAGTTAAAAACTTCCTTTTAAAGACTCTTCGTCTTCAATCGTGGGAGAAAAAGATTGATAGATTCCAGCTTGGTGAGGGAGTTATGCCTGCTAGCTTCAAAGTTTTCCATGATCCTGTTAGAAACCACGAAACGCTGATAGCTGATTTTGGCGAGAGTGCAATTGGAAGAGTAGCGCCGGTTGATTCAGGATTTTGGTGGATTATACTGCTCAGAGCCTACACAAAATCTACAGGGGACTCTTCTCTTGCTGACATGCCTGAATGCCAGAAGGGTATCCGGCTGATACTAAGCCTGTGTCTGTCTGAGGGATTTGATACATTTCCCACTCTCTTATGCGCTGATGGTTGCTGTATGATTGATCGTAGGATGGTAAGCAGCAGATTTTCTTTATTAGTTATATCTAGTGATTCTTTCTACAAGGAGAGTTTGAGTTAGGTGCTTCATCAGTTTTCCATTTTTTAATCTTGTGTTTTCTGTGTTTTAGGGAGTTTATGGTTACCCGATAGAGATTCAAGCCCTTTTCTTTATGGCCTTAAGGTGTGCCTTGCTCCTGCTTAAACATGACGGAGAAGGTAAGGAAATGGTGGAACAGATAGTTAAGCGACTTCATGCATTGAGCTACCACATGAGGAGCTACTTTTGGCTAGACTTGAAGCAGCTTAATGACATTTACCGATATAAGACAGAGGAATACTCTCACACTGCTGTCAACAAGTTCAACGTAATCCCTGATTCTCTTCCAGAATGGGTTTTCGACTTTATGCCGCCTCACGGAGGGTTTTTTATTGGCAACGTTAGCCCTGCAAGAATGGATTTCCGTTGGTTTGCTTTGGGTAATTGTATAGCAATATTGTCTTCCTTGGCTACTCCCGAACAGTCAACAGCAATTATGGATCTCATAGAATCTCGCTGGGAAGAGTTGGTTGGAGAAATGCCACTGAAAGTTTGCTATCCCGCAATAGAAAGCCACGAATGGAGAATAGTAACTGGTTGTGACCCCAAAAACACTCGGTGGAGCTACCACAATGGAGGATCCTGGCCAGGTTTGCTTCTTCTCTACTTTTAGTTGGACAACAAAGGAATCTCTCCTGTCCCAGTGTTCTTCTGGTTCTACTGTGGTATCTTAATCTTAGTAAAAGGCTATTATTCTGACCCTTATTGATGTAATTATGTTTAATGGTACACAGTTCTGCTATGGCTTCTGACGGCTGCTTGTATCAAAACTGGTCGACCTCAAATAGCAAGACGAGCAATTGAAGAAGCAGAGGCTAGGCTCCATAAGGACCATTGGCCTGAATACTATGATGGAAAGGTAGGGAGATACGTGGGGAAACAGTCGCGTAAAAACCAGACTTGGTCAATCGCCGGATACTTAGTAGCCAAGATGATGCTGGAAGATCCGTCACATGTTGGTATGGTTTGTCTTGAAGAAGACAAACAGATGAAACCCGTTATGAGAAGATCCAACTCCTGGACTTGTTGAAAACGTTAGAAAGAGAAGAACTAAGAAGAACCTTCTTCGTGATTCCTGGTTTTTACTGCTGATAACGACTCTTTCTTCGTTTTTCAATTGCACATTTTACGTTGTTTGCTTTGTGAAATATTTTTTAGACTATGAAAAAGATTTAAGCATCGTAAAAAATATTTCGTATGTTTAGCTTCTTGTCTTTATTATATGTTTTCTCTCGCTACTGAAATGTCGTCTATAGAGCAAAGAAGGGGTTCTTTCTTGATCTGCAAGGTAAACCTATCACTTTATTGTTCAGACATCAAGGTTTCTAGCGATGATGCCTTCAAATGTAACACCAGGTCCAAAAGCCAGAATCAGACCCCACTCGTTTTCTTCTTCTTTCATGTTCCTCACTTTCTTGCTCTCCTCCAACATATACTCCAACACATAAACAATTGAATTGCTGCTCGCATTGCCATAGTCCATGAGAGCTCTTCTGCTTGGACTCAGCTTCTCAGGCGACAGGTTAAGCCGTTTTTCCATCCGATTCAAGATGGCTGGTCCACCTGGATGAACCGCCCAGAACATCTGGTTATAGTTCTTATGAGCCAGTCCCGCTTTTCCTATTAGCTTCTTGCAGAAGTTCTCCACGTTGTCTTCTATTATCTGTGGAAGCTCTCTCGCTAGCTTGAAGTTTATCCCTTGTTCTGTTAGCCTTCCATCTATCGTCTTCTCTGTGTCTGCGCATTGAAAATGCAATCCATACTTATCCAAAAATAGTCTTAAGATATAGACATAACTGGATGCAAAAATCTTATGGTCTTTTACCAGGTAAAAAATTCTGTATTGCAGTGTGAAGCTCAAAGAGAGGCTTCTCGCAGACCGGGTCTGGATCAGATCCGATGATCATAGCTCCGGCTCCATCACCAAACAACGCCACCCCAACAAGATCATACGGTCTATCCACACTTGGGGGTTTGAACCCAATGATGGTTGTCTCAGATGTGGCAAGCAAAACTCTACTGCCAGGATTATTCTCGGCTATGTCTTTGGCTACACGAAGACCTGCAACTCCACCAGAACAGCCGACGAAGTAGAGCAGAACACGGTGTGTGTCAGGACTGAGTCCAAGCCCCTTGGCTAAGTACAAGTCCCCACCCGGAAGACGAGCTTCGCTTGAGGAGACATAGACAAGGTGAGTTATTTCCGAAATAGAACGCCCCCAGTTCTTGATGCAGGCTCTGGAGGCTTCTACTGCCATCTCGGTCACTGCATCGTTGCAGATGTCTAGACGCTGCGTCACTGTGGATCCTCCTTCAATGGCAAGTTCTGGATACTTCTTGAGAATCTCCTCCGACATCACAACATACCTTGTCTTCACCGTTGTTGTCTTGCCTGTATATAGTAAACGACCAGTTCAAACAAACCTCAGTTGCAGGAGATTACAAATTGAGATAAAAAGTTGAAAGAAACAGAGGTCAAAGTGAAGAAATTACAGAGACGAGTAAGCTTCTGTTTGAGTTCAGGGTCATCACACTTGGTGGTTTTGAAGTAGCCATCGACTAAGTACTCTTGCATTACTAGCTGGTGAGGAAAGGCTTTTCCGAGAGCAAGAATTGTCGCTTTTCCCGGGTTTGATTTCTTCTCTGAACCCAATACTGCGGCATCGATGCTTCCCATTTCTCCCTGTTTTTCTCTTGTCAAAGACTCAAATGTTGGGTCTGTAAAAAAGGTTCAAAGTGAAGGCATATATATACACACTGCAGCTTTTGCAGTTTGTGACCTGCATCTTGTGCAGTGTTTCTGTCTAGTTGATATTTGGTAAAGATTAGGTGTGGGATTCAGGAGCAACATGTTTATTGCATTGGCTCTTTCTAAAACCCAACTCCAATTCTTTGAGGATTTTCTCTTGATACATAGTCTTTGGGCCTAGTTAAAAGCCAACACAAGGATGTGTTATAATTATAGTTGTTTTGTACATTTTCACACTTAAAAAGAATGAAAGAGAAACTAACTAAAGCTTCTTTCTATTTGAAGCATGGTTAACAAAGAACACCAATATCAGCCCCATGGATAGAAATGTCGATGAGATTTTTTTTCTGTTCTCATCAATCATTTGAAATGGATAAAAAATCTCTCATTCTGTTGTTGGGTATCAAAATTTGCTGAGTTTCTACATGTATGATGGATCATCATAAGAAAGACAGCAAAAAATAGAAGAACAAATGAGGAAAGGTGAAGAGTTGAAATTTCTGCTAAAACCTATTCCCTACCCATGCCCTTTGCTTGAATCTTTATATCCTTTCTTTCCCCAATGCACATAAGTGAACCTTATCGACGAAACTTACGGTTTTGATTAGAGGAAAGCTACCAGGTTAATATGCATGATTTGTCAGAGATCTGAGAGACACTTCCCACTGATGAATTCAATCACTTTGGTAAGTGACTCATCAAGTTTGGCAGTGACTGCAGCTAAGTTCTCCAAAAATTCTTCAGAAGTTGGTCTATTGCCATCCACAATATCAGTCACACCTTTTATTAGAATCGTAGGCACCTTAAAAATATCAGCCACATAGGCCACTGCTGCTCCCTGAAATGCCAAGGTTCCGAGAATAAGCAGTAGTAACTAATAAAGAAACAAAGACAAACACATAGATTGGAGCCACGTTCATAAACACAGGAAACTTATGGATTGTTTACCTCCATATCTTTAACTGTAGCATCATTTGCTGTGATGGATTCTTCGTCATGTGGAGACATATCCATAGAATCGCCAGTGGATAATCTTCCTACCTGGGAACATCACAACCAAATCATAAATCTACCACTTATGGCACTTTTGCAAAACAGATCAAGAAATAATCAAAATCTTGCATCAGGACCAAATGGTGTACTCAGAGCAACTAATAAAGTATACACCTTTAGGTTCAGCTCCTTTATAAGGTTGGGTGTGGGGAATGCTTTCCGCATACCAACACCGTATAGATCAAGGACCTGAAGAAAGTAGAGAGAAATTTTTAGGAAAAAGCAAAAATATTTGGAATGAGAATGCAAGTAAATCACTCAAGAACATCAGCTTTACTTTGCAACTCATGAAGAATTCAAAAGAGCACTTACAGGAACGGGTATTCTTCTGTCATGGAAAGCAACAGTGGAGACAACATAAACATCGCTAATACATGCTCCTTTGGCCTGAAAGAACCATTTAAAAAAACAAGGAGGGCTGTTCACTTCATTCTTTCTGACACATAAGTGGCATTAGACGACTATGTAGAGAAATTTGTAATGTCCATACCTTAAACCCACCAGCGGTTCCCGCATTGACGATTAAGTCAGGTTGAATTGCTAGAATGGAAGCATAAGTCACGAGGGATGCAGGAACCGTGCCAACACTCTCGACCCCTGAAAAAAGAATTGACCCATATAACAAGAGTTAGAAATGCACTGACCATTAGAGATAACATCCTGAAACACTGACTCATCACAGCACCACATGGATATGCATACCAAGAGTTGAATCCTTTCCTGGACACACTATATTGATGTTCAAGTCTTTATACATTCCCTTAAACAGAAGCCAAGTCACCTCTTTTGGAAACCTACAAAATTCAATTTTCCAAACAGTAACAAGAAAGCTATCACTTTTTTTTTTTTGTTTTTTGGTTTTAAAGCTATCACATTTGATTTCAAATCAAAATCCAAAAAGTGAAAGAGATAAAAAGAACTCACGGTGTACTAACTTCTTTAACGAGCCGTAATCTATTGATCAGAGGCTGAGCTTCTTTTTGCATAGCTGCGAATACACACCATTAGAAGAAAAACAAAAATCACAATCCAAGAAATAGTAAAGAGAAGGAGACAAAAAAATTAGTACCGACGATGAAGACGATGGTAGAAATCGGCCGTTTCTCTACCTGACCCATAAGACCTTCCATAGCAGCGTCTGAGAATCCGTCGCCGGCGATTCGTCAAGATCAAATTTCTAAATTTCCCCCGGAAATTGGAACGGAGATAAAAGAAACCGGCTCCGACCCGAATCTTATCTGGATCCGGACCCGGACCCAGACCCAGGCCCAAATTAAAAAAAAAGGAAAACAAACATTATTTTGTTATTGTATTAGCATTGACGACTTGACGGCCGTTTATGCCACGTAAGCAATCCGAAAGAGAGTCGTTGGTTATTTCATATCCTCACTTGTTGTCTAAAAGCTTTATCCTCAAATCGTTTTCTCTCTAAGCCTCTCCAATGGAGGTTACCTCCACCACCTTCATCTCCACCACCAGATCTTCTAAATTTCTCTCCTTGACTTCATACTCTCCGGTGATTCTTCCTGCTTCTACTCTCCGCCGTGATTTTCTCGGTTGTTGTCATAGTCTCCGACGTCCTTCTCCTCATCTTCGTACTCGCGCCGGCAAACGCAATTCTCGTCGCTCTTCAATTCGATCGCCTCGTTTAGTTGTTAGAGCTTCTCTCGATTCTGGTTTGATTCTTGTTATTGTGGCTGTCACTGCCTTTTCCGCCATTGCTTTCGCTTACTGCCAAAATACTTTCAGGAAGCGGAAAACTTCCGATGTGGTAATTGGAAGTTTCTGAGCTACTTTGCTTCTTTTTAGCCAATTTTAGGTTTTGTTTCATTAGAGTGCATAAAGTTGCTGACTTTTTATAATATTCGATAAGGATTCTGATTCTGACTAGCTAAGCTTTTCAGGTTACAACGGTTCATGGCGGAAAAATTAGTACTGAGAATCGGCGGGAAAGTAATCATTTAGATGGAGATGTTCATGAAGGCAATCCTGTGGAATTAAATGGAGGTTTCAGAAAGATGGAGGAACAAAGTGTGAATCTTTTGGAGGAAGAGGAGACTCATCAAATCCAGGAAATTGCTGTGAGGGAGTATGATTCATTTTCAGCTGAGGAGTCTCAGTTTGCTGTTGCCAGTGTCAGCACAGTTGCCAAAGAACATACTTTAATAGATGAATCCCTTTCACGTCCTTCTATTGTTAATGGGTCTGTTGCTTTGGAATCAGCTACCTTTGGAGTTAAAACACAAGTTGAAAATAGCGAAGATCAGAAGGGTTTGGAGCATGATTTTTCACAGGCAGTGGTGGGAATTCATTCGATTGCTTCTCCACAGGTGGTAGATGACACACGTGCTCTAGAGTATGAGTACAATGGTTTGCTCCAGAAGCCTCTCGAGTACAGCGTCTTTGCGGAGAGTAAGAGAGAAGAGATTCACACTTTTTATGGGTCTAATCATTCATCAGCCAAGTCTTCAAGGTTGACAAGTCTTAAAGCAGTCTCTCCTACTGTTACTTCTTCAAGTAATAGTTTATTGCTGGACCACAAGAACAATGGAGTAATTGATACTCAGTTCCCAGGACATAGTTCTGGTCAGGCTACTGGTATGTTTCCTATCTAAGAAGCTTGCAGTGCCAATCCATTACAATGATTCCTTAAAGTTAGTTTCCGTTTCAGCTGATGTTCAAGAAGAAAAACTTGTGGCATACGGTAACGGCGGTGTATCCCACATTAGGAAAGACGTTAAAGGAGACTGGAAAATTCCAAATGATGGGACGCATGTGGGTCACCAAACTGATGAAATCATGCCTCAGTTCCCTGCTCGAAACTTTGAGCTACATCATAGTAATGGACGTTCTCCAGAAACTAATGATGCTTACAACCGTTTACTTAGAGATGGAAGGTAATAAGTTTTCTCTCATTTGAATCTTGGCTGTCCTTTTCTTCCTCTTCTGTCACTGCTAATTCTTTTTTGGGATGTTTTAGTACCAATGAGAAGTTACTAGATTGTTTGACTTTGAGAATGTAATATTAATACATACAGGATTAAGGATTGCATAAGCTTGCTCGAAGATTTGGACCAAAGGGATCTATTGGACATGGACAAGGTATGGCTGTTTTTCTAAGCAATATGGATGAAACCTTTAGAATTGCGTCTAGTGGAAATTTGTCACTGATCTTTTCTTTTTTCTTGTCTATTTCCTCACATCAGATTTATCATGCGAGTTTCTTTAAAGCCTGCAAGAAGCAAAGGGCTGTCAAGGAAGCATTTCGCTTTACCAAGTTGATTCTAAATCCAACCATGAGCACATTCAATATGTTAATGTCTGTCTGCGCAAGCTCCCAGGACATAGAAGGTGAATTTTTTTTCCAGTATTAAATCAATGGTCTTGTTAATGTTTCATTCTCCTATATACTGAATTGTTACTTACGTAGGAGCTCGAGGAGTTTTGCGTCTGGTACAAGAGAGTGGTATGACTGCTGATTGCAAACTTTACACAACTTTAATATCAAGTTGTGCTAAAAGTGGAAAAGTTGATGCAATGTTCGAGGTATAGAAACCTTCCTGTGCCTGAAAGTTATTTTGACAAAGATACATATTTGGCTGGTTCTTTGCAACCCTGTTAAAAACAAGAATGCATGATAGATTTCTGGGGAAAATCATTGATACTAGTCTAATGCTTGTCTGAATGGTTCCTTATATTATTCTTGGTCTCCCAACAGAGGAAATGAATCAAGCTTCAAATTGTGACTGCAATCAAACTCCATAGCTCTTACTCTTTTTCTCTGTGGGGTTATTTTGTCAGGTGTTCCACCAGATGTCAAATTCTGGAGTGGAAGCCAATCTTCACACATTCGGTGCACTTATTGATGGCTGTGCTAGAGCTGGACAAGTAGCTAAGGCATTTGGTGCTTATGGAATTTTAAGGTCTAAGGTAAGCATGCCACAAGTTTGGACGCCCTCCTATCATGTGTCAAGATTTCAAAAAATATCCTCTTTCTTCATGGCTACAGAATTGTTTTTTAATCCTGCTCATATGTTCATTTCTGCTTTGGAATCTCAAGTCTATTATTACATTGATGACATGTTCGATGCAGTAGAATGTTAAGCCAGACCGGGTTGTATTCAATGCCCTCATCTCTGCATGTGGTCAATCAGGAGCTGTTGACCGTGCTTTTGATGTGTTAGCTGAAATGAAGGCTGAGACGCACCCTATAGACCCTGATCATATCACGATCGGTGCATTGATGAAAGCATGCTGTAATGCTGGTCAGGTGTGTGGCTTTTTTTCCTGTAACTTTTTCTGTTTTTTCTCTTTCGATTTGATTGAGAATAAGTTTATTTCAGGTCCAACGAGCAAAAGAAGTTTACCAGATGATCCATGAATATGGAATCAGGGGTACTCCGGAAGTGTATACCATTGCTGTGAATAGTTGCAGCAAGTCTGGGGACTGGGATTTTGCATGTAGCATATACAAGGACATGAAAGAAAAAGACGTGACCCCTGACGAGGTATGTCTGTACTATATATCATGCTCAAAGCGTGCAGATCTTTATAAGGCATGAACGAGTCATTAACTCTATGCATACTAGTTCCAACAAATTCATTTTTGAGTTAAAATAAGACACACATTCTAAAACTCATGAAAGTCGCTGATATGAGGCAAGTGTTTAATTACAAGAATTTATACATACATACGTACATATTTATGTAATCTTGGTTTTGATCTTCTGCAGGTGTTTTTCAGTGCATTGATTGATGTTGCAGGACATGCAAAAATGTTAGACGAGGCTTTTGGTATTCTTCAGGATGCAAGATCTCAAGGAATACGTCTTGGAACTGTATCATATAGCTCACTGATGGGAGCTTGTTGTAACGTATGTGCCTTTTATTGCTGTAGCAAGAGTTTTCAATATTACTTACTATAAGTTTTAAGCTGTCTACGTCAAATCCTTAAAATGCACGTTGTGGATAGAGGAGAAAGAGAACTTTGGTAAACTTTGGTGAGATGTAGTTCACATTACCTTAGGAATCCCTAGCGATTTTTGGAATGGTGTGATTGCATTGACTTTCTTGGATTAAACTTTTATGCAGAAAAATACTGATAATATTTTTGTTTTGCTTTTTTACTTAGGCGAAGGATTGGAAGAAAGCACTGGAGCTTTATGAAAAAATCAAGTTAATCAAACTTAGACCAACAATTTCAACAATGAATGCCCTTATAACTGCTTTGTGTAAGACCTCAACCACATACAATGCTATCTTAATCTTTTCCCCTTACTACACTTGCAGCATCCCATACAAAATATCATTACTGGAATGACTGCTTAGATTATCAACAGGTGAAGGTAATCAACTGCCCAAGGCTATGGAATATCTCGAAGAGATAAAGACTTTAGGGTTAAAACCAAATACTATTACTTATTCAATGCTCATGCTGGCAAGTGAAAGGTATCTTCTTTTAAGTTGAATTATTTAGGCTCGTTTGATCAATATGTAGATTTGAGATTTCATTATTTTCTGAATTTTCCCTGTGTAGAAAGGATGACTTTGAGGTAAGTTTCAAGCTCCTTTCTCAAGCAAAAGAAGATGGAATATCACCAAATTTCATCATGTGCAGATGCATAACCAGTAAGCTTGTATTTTGTATTCATTTCTTTCCTCATTCTTTGAGGCTCAGAGGATTACATATATCTTTAGATGTATCCGTGTCCATCATGAAGCAAATCAGATATGAAAGCGTTTGTTTAATGTAGCACTTATGCTTCTTCTTTTTTTGTTTTGTAAAGGCCTGTGCAAGCGAAGGTTTGAGAAGGCTTGTGCTGCTGGTGAACCTGTTGTGTCCTTCAAATCAGGGCGTCCTCAAATTGAGAATAAATGGTCAGTATAGCTTCCTCTTTTAAGTATTAAGTCTGGCACTCTTCTTCTTAATGTTGGAAGAGGTCAAGAAAATCTTGTGATGCTTCCCAGTGAAGCAATCGTGAGTGAGGTTTCAGTAAATATGTTGGATTTTGATCTAATAGTTGTGTTACTCTCTCTTCTTCAATAAAAACTTACACCAGAAACCAATTCCAGGTTAAAATTGATAAAATTCTCTTTCTTTCCAGGACATCAATGGCCTTAATGGTTTACCGCGAGACAATTTCAGGTGGAACGGTTCCTACTA